AGGGAAGCCCGGGTGCATATATATTTATAATTGTTATATCTTCTTCTTGGATTGATCCCTTGATCATTATGTAGTGCCCTTCCTTGTCTCTTGTAACATTCTTTATTTTAAAGTCTATTTAATCTGATATGAGTATTGCTACTCCAGCTTTCTTTTTTTTTCTTTTTTTTTTTTTTTTGCGGTACGCGGGCCTCTCACTGTTGTGGCCTCTCCCGTTGCGGAGCACAGGCTCCGGATGTGCAGGCTCAGCGGCCATGGCTCACGGGCCCAGCCGCTCCGTGGCATGTGGGACCTTCCCTGACCGGGGCACGAACCCGTGTCCCCTGCATCGGCAGGCGGACTCTCAACCACTGCGCCACCAGGGAATCCCCCAGCTTTCTTTTGATTTCCATTTGCATGGAATATCGTTTTCCATCCCCTCACTTTCAGTCTGTATGTGTCCCTAGGTCTGAAGTGGGTCTCTTGTAGACAACATATATATGGGTCTTGTTTTTGTATCCATTCAGCAAGCCTGTGTCTTTTGGTTGGAGCATTTAATCCATTCACATTTAAGGTAATTATCTATATGTATGTTTGTATGACCATTTTCTTAATCGTTTTGGGTTTGTTTTTGTAGGTCCTTTTCTTCTCTTGTGTTTTCCACTTAGAGAAGTTCCTTTAGCATTTGTTGTAGAGCTGGTTTGGTGGTGCTGAATTCTCTTAGCTTTTGCTTGTCTGTAAAGCTTTTGATTCCTCCGTTGAATCTGAATGAGATCCTTGCCGGGTAGAGTAATCTTGGTTGTAGGTTCTTCCCTTTCATCACTTTAAGTATATCATGCCACTCTGTTCTGGCTTGTAGAGTTTCTGCTGAGAAATCAGCTGTTAACCTTATGAAGTTCCCTTGTATGTTGTTTGTCGTCTTTCCCTTGAGGCTTTCAATAATTTTCCTTTGTCTTTAATTTTTGTCAGTTTGGTGACTGTGTCTCGGCGTGTTACTCCTTGGGTTTATCCTGTATGGGACTCTCTGCGCTTCCTGGACTTGGGTGGCTATTTCCTTTCCCATGTTAGGGAAGTTTTCAACTATAATCTCTTGAAATATTTTCTCTGGTCCTTTCTCTCTCTCTTCTCCTTTTGGAATCCCTATAATGCGAATGTTGTTGCGTTTAATGTTGTCCCAGAGGTCTCTTAGGCTGTCTTCATTTCTTTTCATTCTTTTTTCTTTATTCTGTTCCACAGCAGTGAATTCCACCATTCTGTCTTCCAGGTCACTTATCCGTTCTTCTGCCTCAGTTATTCTGCTATTGATTCCTTCTAGTGTAGTTTTCATTTCAGTTATTGTATTGTTCATCTCTGTTTGTTTGGTCTTTAATTCTTCTAGGTCTTTGTTAAATATTTCTTGCATCTTCTCGATCTTTGCCTCCAGTCTTTTTCCGAGGTCCTGGATCATCTTCACTCTCATTATTCTGAATTCTTTTTCTGGAAGGTTGCCTATCTCCACTTCATTTAGTTGTTTTTCTGGGGTTCTATGTTGTTCCTTCATCTGGTACATAGCCCTCTGCCTTTTCATCTTGTCTGTCTTTCTGTGAATGTGGTTTTTGTTCCACAGGCTGCAGGATTGTAGTTCTTCTTGCTTCTGCTGTCTGCCCTCTGGTGGATGAGGCTATCTAAGAGGCTTGATGGGAGGGACCTGTGGTGGGTAGAGCTGGCTGTTGCTCTGGTGGGCAGAGCTCAGTAAAACTTTAATCCACTTGACTGCTGATGGGTGGGGCTGGGTTCCCTCCCTGTTGGTTGTTTTGCCTGAGGCAACCCAACACTGGAGCCTACCTGGGCTCTTTGGTGGGGCTAATGGCAGACTCCAGGAGGGCTCATGCCAAGGAGTACTTCCCAGAACTTCTGCTGCCAGTGTCCTTGTCCCCATGGTGAGCCACAGCCACCCCCCGCCTCTGCAGGAGACCCTCCAACACTAGCAGGTAGGTCTGGTTCAGTCTCCCCTGGGGTCACTGCTCCTTCCTTTGGGTCCCGATGAGCACACTGCTTTGTGTGTGCCCTCCAAGAGTGGAGTCTCTGTTTCCCCCAGTCCTGTAGAAGTCCTGCAGTCAATTCCCACTAGGCTTCAAAGCCTGATTCTCTAAGAATTCCTCCTCCCGTTGCCAGACCCCCAGGTTGGGAAGCCTGACGTGGGGCTCAGACTTCACTCCAGTGGGTGGACTTCTGTGGTGTAAGTGTTCTCCAGTCTGTGAGTCACCCACCCAGCAGTTATGGGATTTGATTTTACTGTGATTGCGCCCCTCCTACCGTCTCATTGTGGCTTCTCCTTTGTCTTTGGATGTGGGGTATCTTTTTTGGTGAGTTCCAGTGTCCTCCTGTCGATGATTGTCCAGCAGCTAGTTGTGATTCTGGTGTTTTCGCGAGAGAGAGTGAGAGCACGTCCTTCTACTCCGCCATCTTGGTTCAGGGCTGCATATTATTTCTTAATAATAAATATTGTAACAAACAAGGAGTCTGTTTGAATAAGACATTTTAATTACATCTGAAAACTGCCAACATGTACAAATTTAGTTACAAGACACTTTTACTGCCATCTGTCAAAATTGTAGTAAGCACACATGTCCTATCTTGGAAATAAAACAACCTATAAAAATTTTTTTTTTTGAAATAAGGAATGTCTATGTTGTGAGTAGCACTCCCTTTGATGTGACAACTTGGAACACTTGTAAAAGCAACCCTGAATGACTCTTTTTTATTCTTGTGCTGTTTCTAGCTCCTAAATCTATCATAAATCTGTTCCTTTTTCCACGTCCATTTTCACTGTCACTATTTTCGTTCATGTCCTTGTTTCTAGCTTGGACGATTGCAGTAGCCTCTCGGTGGTCCTGCAGCCTGACCCCATTTCCTCCACGTGCCCAAGCTGCTCTCATCACTCTGACTGCCTGTGGCATTTGCCACTCTCCCTCTGCCTGAGTGTCCTTCCCAGGGAAATTTCTACCTGCCCTTCAAGACTGCGGGGAAGGCTTAAGCTCCCCTGTGTAGCTTCTGCCTCTACTGTGCCTGCTAATCTCCTCCATTAAAGTCCCTGGCACAGTAAAGGGCTGGTTTATGGGTTTGTTGAGAAGTTTGCTTCCCACTTGGTTGTTTCTCCATCTTGCGGAGTTGACAGCCTTCCTCTTTGCTCCCATGGCCTCCTGAACACGCTTCTATGGCAGCGCATGTACACTTTTCATATCCACAGCTTTAGTCTCCCTTCCCGTCATTTGATTGAGCTCCTTGAGCCAGGGATGTGTCTGGAGAGTCTTTGAACCTCTGTGTCTGATACAGTGCTGGGTCCTGGTAGCTTCCTCCTTGTTCGCATAACTTGTGCCTTCCAGGAGGAAGTACACATGTTACATATGTACTTTCTGGAAATCCAGTCCCTCTCCCTCCCGCCCCCTTTGAGAGTCTCGGAGGGGAAGGGGAAAGAGGGGAGAGGAAGGGGAAAGAGGGGTGTCTTACCTGCAGAGTCCTTGCAAGAGCCACCTGGGGAGTGCTTTTGCTGCCCTTGTCATTACCCACACAGCCACTAGGGGGCAGGAAAGCCCCATCCTTCCCCAGATCCGGGCCCCACAGAAGTCCGTTCTCCAAAAGCTGATGTGCTGAGGGTCATTTTGCAAAATCGTTGACCCAGCGAATAATCACCTGCTGACTCATCGAGGAGTTACCTGAGGCTTTGGTTTTATTCAGAGTGCTCCCCAAAGCTTCATATTTCATCTAAGAAAGAGGGAGCTTTTCTTGATCTCAGTTTACTGTGTTCTCTGTTTTGGGGATATGGTATCCCGCCAGGCCTGTGACCCTGGCTTCACCTGACCTCCACTTCTGGGAGTGACACAGCTGGGATGACTGACTGGCCATGTGGCTTCTGTCTGATGGCTGTTTTTTTAAATTAATTAATATTAATTAATTTTTTTTGGCTGTGTTGGGTCTTCGTTTCTGTGCGAGGGCTTTCTCTAGTTGTGGCGAGCGGGGGCCACTCTTCATGGAGGTGCGCGGGCCTCTCACTATCGCGGCCTCTCTTGTTGCGGAGCACAGGCTCCAGACGTGCAGGCTCAGTAGTTGTGGCTCACGGGCCTAATTGCTCTGCGGCACGTGGGATCTTCCTGGACCAGGGCTCGAACCCGTGTTCCCTGAATCGGCAGGCAGATTCTCAACCACTGCGCCACCCGGGAAGCCCCTGTCTGATGGTTTTGATGTGTTGATCTTATGTGAATTGATCTAGTGCCCCAGGGAGGGTGGGGATTCTTCCTGGACCTGGTCCTCCTTACTAAGAGGGTGGGGGCATGGGAGACCTCTTTTGGTTTCCCCTCCAAGGTGTAGCCGTGTCACCCCAGCCCTTGGTAGCGGTGGCAGCAGACTGAACTTGAAGACCAGAGGGGAGGGGGACCCCAGGAGACACGGCAGCCCCTCAAAACCCAGTCCAGCCCCCACTGCTCCTCCTTCCATGGGGTCTCTGGAAGGCTCAGCCCCACGTCAGACAATTCATAGACCCAGCGTGGAGTGACAGTGTGAGCTCAAGGGCCTCTGCACCGTGATTGAAAGTCCTCTCACACGGAGGACATTAAGCTAAGTGAAAAAAGCCAGTCACGTAGGACAAATACTGTCTGATTCCAGTCACAGGAAGTATCTAAATCATAGACACAGAAAGTAGACGGTGGTTACCGGGGCTGGGGAGGGGGGAGCAGTATTGGCATCTAATGGGGCCAGAGCTCCAGGCTGTGGGATGGAATCGTTCTGGAACTCTCTCGGCACGATGTCGAGAAGGCACCTGAAGCTGCTGAGCCGTACCTTTAAAGATGGCTAAGATGGTCAATGTTACATGTGTGGTTGTTGTTTTTTTTAGCACAATAAAATAAAATAAGGTCTTTTTCTGTGTTTCACTTCCTTCTCTAGAAGGAAGCTTTGAACGCTTACGGCTCACAATAGGGTTTCGTTTTATGAACTCTTGGAAAGCATCAACGTTCTAGCATTTCAAATGTTTGTCTAGCTCCGGGAAAGAACACTTTCTCCTGGGAAGCAGCGTTTGTCCGAGGCCCCGAGTTTATCCGGAGGGGGCGTTCGGGGAGAGACCTCTGGAAGGCAGGAGAGGAGCTGTTACAGGAAGCTGTACGGGCTGCTGCAGGGCAGACGGAGGGCGAGGAGTTGGTGGGAGAAGGTAAACTATGTCTTTCGGTTTTCACCCCAATCTCGGGAAAGGGCAGGGCTGAGCGGTGAAGGCTGGGACCTGCTGGGGCAGAAACACCTGCTCCGGGCTCCGGGCCCTCCCCCCACCCCCAGCTCTCGCAAAGCCTTGAAAGGCCCCCGACTGTTTTCCGCACGGGCCGCCTGTGTCGGCACAGCGATCCTTCTCGAGGGACACTTCCGAAGCTCGGCTGGGGCTCAGCCCGGGTCCCCTCAGCCCCAGCGGAGCCTCCGCCCTCCACCTCCCACCAGCCTTTGACCGCGCCGGGTAGATGGGCGCGGTCCCTTCCTGGCTCAGACGGCCGTGACCCAGACGTTCTCACCCTGTGATCCGGCATCACTTCTGAACTTCCCCTCCGACTGCATTGGACACCTATTTCTAAAAACCTCTTCCTCCTCAGAAACACTGTGTCAGGAAGATCCTGACCCTGCGAAGCTGGTCCAGACCCTGCTTTCCTCTCCCCGCGCCGCTGCTCCATCCTCTGAGGGGATAGAGTAGCCGCTTCACCCAGCCGAGCGCTGCAGAGACGGAGGCACGCGGAACCTGGAGGTTCTGAGACTGTGACAGCTCAGGGGACAGGACCGAGGTACGTGTGTGCGTGGTGGCGGTTTCTGTGCTGGACACGTGAACATGAGGATGGGAAAGGCGGCCGACGCAGGGAGGGGAGACAGCCACCTGGAAGGCTTGATTTCAGGGGTTCTGGGGTGTTCTTCCCGCCCCTTCGCAGGTCTCCCCAGCCTGGGGGGGGGGCACAGAGGTCACCCCCCTCCCCGGGGAGTCGTGTCTGTGCGCAGCCTTCCTAGGAAGAGGCGGGTCTGGGAGGGGGCTGCTCGCCCCACCCAGGGCTGAGACGAAGGCCTGGAAGAAAAAGGGGGGGTAGGTCCGCTCCTCCGGCATCCCCTGACTTCACGACTGTGACACAAAGCAAACTCCCCCCCTCACCCCGGGGAAGTCAGCAGGAGCTGCCTGCCTCCTTGAGCAGAAGCGGGCAGGGAAGCTGGCCGTTTGGACACTGATTTTCCACATTCACTCTCGCGATATTTTCCAACCCTTGCACAATCAGGATTCCATTAACTGATCATTGAAAGTGGTCAGTGTTTGCCAAAAACACTCTTTCTGATTTTATCTAAATTTAAGCCTCCTGGGCTTTCACCCATGAACTCTCTTCCTTCCTCCTGCCGGGCTGGGACTGAGTTCTCTCCAGGCCGGGCTCCGGAAGCTTCTCTGACCACCTTTTTCTGTGCACCTGAACTGCCCCTGACGTGGGACAAATCCCTACATCACTGGAAGCTTTGCTTGGGTGCCTGAAGCCTCGTCCCGCTTGGGCTCTATCCTGGGAAGAAGGTGGAGGCTGCTTTAGAGTTTCACAAGAGTTCTGGAGAAAGCTTTCTTTCTTTCATTTTTTGAAGTTTTAAAAAAATTCTTGAATTTTATTTTATTTACTTTTTTTATACAGCAGGTTCTTATTAGTTACCTATTTTATACGTATTAGTGTATATATGTCAATCCCAATCTCCCAATTCATCCCACCACCACACCCTTCCCCGCTTTGTGTCCATACATTCGTTCTCTACATTTGTGTCTCTATTTCTGCCCTGCAAACCGGTTCATCTGTACCATTTTTCTAGATTCCACATATATACGTTAATATACGATATTTGTTTTTCTCTTTCTGACTTACTTCACTCTGGATGACAGTCTCTAGGTCCATCCACGTCTCTACAAATGACCCAATTTCATTCCTTTTTATGGCTGAGTAATATTCCATTGTATATATGTACCACATCTTCTTTATCCGTTCGTCTGTCGATGGGCATTTAGGTTGCATCCATGACCTGGCTATTGAAAATAGTGCTTCAATGAACATTGGGGTGCATGTCTTTTTGAATTATGGTCTTCTCTGTGTATATGCCCAGTAGTGGGATTGCTATGTCATATGGTAATTCTTTTTTTTTTTTTTTTTGCGGTACTTGGGCCTCTCACTGCTGTGGCCTTTCCCGTTGCGGAGCACAGGCTCCGGACGCGCAGTTCAGCGGCCATGGCTCACGGGCCCAGCCGCTCCGCGGCACGTGGGATCTTCCCGGACCGGGGCACGAACCCATGTCCCCTGCATCAGCAGGCGGACTCTCAACCACTGTGCCACGAGGGAAGCCCAGAAGGTACTTTCTTGTTGTTCCTCTATCCACTCTGTTTGTGAGTTGAACATTGTTGTGTTGCTTTTTGTCCCAACAGAACCAGTGGAAACCTGTGTCAGGAGAGAGAGCCAGAGCCAGACTGCTCCATGTCGGAACTGAGGCTTCTTCTTTTAGGGAAACATGGCGCAGGGAAAAGTGCCACAGGAAACACCATTCTGGGCAAAGCTGTGTTCAAGTCCAGGTTCAGTGAGCAGATGGTGACTAAAACGTGCCAGAGAGAGAGTGGGGCCACGCAGGGGAGGGAGGTTGTGGTCATCGACACCCCTGACCTTTTCTCCTCAATAGCTTGTGCCAATGACAAGGGAGGCTACATTGAACGCTGCCTGGAGCTCTCAGCTCCCAGCCTCGACGCCTTCCTTCTGGTAATTCCCGTCGGCCATTATAAGGAGGAGGACAGAGAAACAATCAAGGGCATCCAGAAGGTGTTTGGAGCTAAAGCCAGGAAGCACATCATTATAGTCTTTACTTGGAAGGACGATTTGATGGATGGCTTGCTGGAAGATTACATTGAAAGTGACGAGTCTGTTAGGGACTTGGTTCAAAACTGTGGCGGCCGATACTGCGCTTTCAACAACAAGGCAAGTGAGAATGAGCGGGACGCCCAGGTGAAGGACCTCCTCTGCAAGGTCCAGTGTTTGGTGGATGAGAACCAAGGACCATACTGGGTGAACTTCAGAAATGAAGACGGTGGATTCCAGGTGAGGATTCTTGTGAAGGTCTCCAAGGGTCTCTGTTGCTAGAGCTAGCGGGATAAAGGCACAAATAAGTGAGATGTTGCAGAGGCTCTGTTTAAAGGGATATTTATCTGTAAACTGGAAAGATGAAGCTACTTTGAGTATTATACTTTATTGGCAAATTAATGGATATATTTAAGAGCTTATCTGACTTTACCCCTCATAGTATCGGACACATAAATGACTCATTAGACCCTCTCTTCCCTTGGCTTCAGTAAAACTATCCTCTTCTTGTTTCTTCGTCCTCACTTGCTACTCCAGAGAGTGCTGAGTCCTCCTCTAATGACCTGACAGCTGGCATCTTCAGGGCTTTGTTCTCGCCCTTCCTCCCTTCTCTATACTCGTGTCCTCAGGTGATTCCACATTTTTACAGCTTTGAGCTTCATCTGTTGCGAACAGTTTCCAAATTAGTAACTCCAGTCCAGGTCTTTCCTCTTGAGTTCTGACTCCTTTGTCCATCCAATTGCTATCTGACATCGCTCTCTTAAAGAATCTCAGGGTTAACACGTCCAGACTTTTCTTTTTCCCTCTTGAATCTCTGAGACTTCAGTTTTCCTCTCAGCTCTGTCAATGGCTGTCCTGCCCATCATGCTGTTCAAACCTAAGCCCAGATGTCAGTTTTGCTACACGGCCAGCTTGCATCTGACTTCCAGGAGGTCATCGTCTTGTGTGATTAAGGCACCTGGAATCCGCCTGCTTCTCTCTGTCTCCACTACCACCATCTGGTCCAGGGCAACCTCTTTTCTTGCCTGTACTATTTGACACATATTTGCATAACAATTTTCCCCTCACTTATTCTTGTGCCTTACCCTCCCCACCCCGATCCATTTCACACACGATAGCCAGATTGATATTTTAGTTGATTTTAAAACTTCTGATTTCATGCCAATTTAAATGTTGGGAGTGAGGCTTCCCCAGGCAGGTGAAGGGGATGTTAATTATGTGTTTAGCTCTTCATCCTTCATTGTCTCCATTTGCCCATGTGGATGGGGAACGTTCCAAATTTTACTGGATCTCACGTTTGAAGAAGCTTCATCTCTATACTGGGGGTGCAGTAAGGGAAGAAGACATTGGAGATACATGGGGAGCTTGATTTCCAATCTCCTCCCTTCCCCTGTCCCTCAAATGCACCGCACATCCATCATTTGACTAGTTTCTTCTTCCAGGGAGTCCAGAAGCTTTTCTTAAGCGTCTGGATTTTCTCCAGGAATAGCAGGAACTCTGGGAGACACTGGAAAGAATTACTGTTACTATTGGCGACTGCGGAGAAGTAAAGTTAGAAAGCGCTTCAGGAACAATGCCTGGGTTAGATGGCATTTGTGGGGCTCCTCTGAGTGAGAACAAAACCCACCTTCTTACTCCTGGGAAATCCGTTGCAGCAGCAGCGGGGTCTCAAGGTCAGCTTCATCATGGACAGGACTACACGTGCCAGCAGCGACCATGACTATGACCATGACCATGACGTTCATTTGACCACATCCTAATCATCGAATTACTCTGAATTATATACTTGTGTCTCCGTTCCTTTACTTTGTGAAAAGCTGAGATTTTACGTCTGTGTGCATCATATTCCTCTTTATTTTCTTTCTAGGATTGTGTGAATGAAGCTACGTCTCAGAGGGAGGACCGTCCACATGGTAAGATAATTCTTAAAAAAATGTTAAGCTCGTATCTGTATTCTTTTGAATGCATCATGCATCAAAATGAAGTGGAAAAATTATCTAGATAAGTCAGAACAAAAATGCGCCCTGGAGCTCTGGCTCAGATTGGTGCCCACAGTCTGTCTCCCAGGGAACTGCTAACACTTGTGAGTAGGTGCGGCACCCGTGCAGGTGTCCCCGGCCTTCCCTGAAATGTTACAGAGCTGGGCTTGTCTCTTGCAGCTTCTTTCCTGACTCAGCCTCTTCTCCCCAGCCTGGGACCCAGCACTACCCAATTTTGGACTCCTACCGGGAGGCAGAAATCACTTCTTCATGGATAACACTAAACAGAATAACACCTGCAGAATTCAGTGATGGAGCTCAGTATCTGTGTGATGACTGCTGTTAATGGTGTATCATGCACACTGCATATGTCAATAGACTTAGATCTACCTTGTTCTGTTCGGTGGACGTAATGTGGTCCATGGTACGCGCATACGTGACAGATTCACCCATCTCTTTGTTGTTGGACTTTCGGGTTATTTCTGGGCCAGCTCTGTGCAAGAACTGAATATTTCGTAGTGAATAAGGTAGATGAGATCTCTGTCCTTGTAGGACTTCCCAAAATAATAATTAAAATTTTAATGATAATTATTGCAACTGACATTATATGCTGGGATATATATATATACATATAGAGAATATAAATTATTCAATCCTAGTAGCATATAATATATAATCCCCATAACCTCACAATATAGCCCTTAATAACAATCCTATAAAGACGGTGTTATTTTCGTTTTACAGTTGAGTAAATTTAGCCAGAAACACGTGAACTTAGACAGCAGTAGGGAGTTAAAATTCTGTGGATGCCCGTCAGCCAAGACCCCCAGGAATATTCCTGTTACTGAACAAAACTGGGTGGAATGACTTGTGGCAGTGAGGGAACATAGCACATCATGGGGACCAAGGAGCATCTCAGAATGAGGGTGTTGGCGAAGACTTTTTATAGGATGTGGGCTTGTGTGAAGTGATTTGGGGGGAAGTAGAAACCCTCCCAAGGCAGCATAACACGGACATGGTGTCACTAGCATTTCAGCTGCTTTCTTTAAATGCTGTGTTCTTTCCCCTTCCCAGACTTGGGGCTCAGACGCCGAGTATCATCCGCTCTGATAGCGCCCTGGGTGATACAGACTCGGTGACTATCCTCGTAACTGTGGGCTCTGCCATGTGCCCAGTGGGTCTGGTATTGACTTGGGATCATGGGAGAAGTGGTGGGGACAGTGTATGTGTGGAGAGACAGTTCTGTGGTGCAGGTTATTACAGTAATTTACTGAGGTATAATTTACATAGAGTGAGATGCACAAATCTTACGTGTACAACTCAAGGGTTGTTTACGTATCTACACATATGTGACGTCATCTAGATAAAGATAGGGGGCATTTCCATCACCTTAGAAGTTCTTACTGTCCCTCTCCAAAGGGAACCACTCTCCAGGCTTCTATCAACATGGATTAATTTTGTGTGTTCTTCAACCTCAGATAATGACATCATTGTAGCATGTGGTTTTGTGTCTGGGTCCTTTCACTTAGCATGTTTTGGCGATCCATCCAGGCTGCATGTCAGTACATCACTTTTTTGTTAACTTGCCGAGTTGTATTCTATTTTATGAACATACCCCTGAGATGCATTTTTTTATTTAAGTTTTAAAAAATTGAATTATTATTTTTTTATTTGGATTGGCCGCCCTTCACGGCATGTGGGACTCCCGGTTCCCTGACCAGGGATCGAACCCGTGCCCCCTGCCGTGGAAGCACAGAGTCCCAACCACTGGACCACCGGGGAAGCCCCCCACTACGATGCATTTTAAACTCATTCTCCCCAGTTCTGCCTTAGCCCATGAGCTTCACACCCCAGTAGTTAACTTTGGCAGCAAAATAAGAGAGCTCCTGAGGCTCATGACCAGTGAAGGCCAAGTTCAACATTTTCATGTTCCTGGGAAATCTGAAGCCCTTTACACCTCTCTTAAGTTGTTCATGGCCCTTTTCATGGCTTTCACTTTGATGGGTAGCTTCTGACTGGGTCTAGAGTTCTACTGGTTCAGAGGACCACTGCCATTCTCTATAAAATCTGACAAGAGATTTCTAAAATCTCAAAAGAGATGTATGAGAAATCCTAAAACCCATCCACATCTCTGTATTCAAATGTAAGAAGAGACTCTGAATCTGTCCTTTTGTCCCAGGGCCAGGGGCGGAGCATCACCAGGCTACAGGATGTGAGCCGAACCACGAGCTGTCAGCACTGAAGGTCCTGCTCGTGGGGAAGCATGGTGTGGGAAAAAGCACAGCCGGAAACAGCCTTCTGGGGAGGCGGGTCTTTGAGACCCAATACAGCGAAAAGCCAGTAACCCAGAGGTGTAAGTCTGAGAGCAGAATCTGGAGAGGGAGGAAAGTTTTGATCATTGACACTCCAGACCTCTCATCTGCAAAGGATGTTGAACAAGACCTTTTGAACAACACCTTTCCAGGTCCCCATGCCTTCCTGCTGGTGACCCCACTGGGCTCTTTCAATGAGAGAGATCTCATGGTGCTGAGTACCATCCGCAGAATTTTTGGAGATAACGTCACTCAGTACATGATTGTTCTCCTCACCAGGAAAGAAGATCTAGGGAATCAGGATCTAGATACGTTCTTAAAAATCAGAGCTGAAAAGCTCTACGAGCTCATCGAGGAATGTAAACACCGACGCAGCATCTTCAACTATAGCGCAACGGGAGAACAGGACCAGTGCCAGGTGGACGAGCTCCTGCAAAACATTGTGAGCGTGGTGCAGCAGCATGGGGGCAAGCCGTGCACCTTCAGGGGGAAAGGTAAACGCTGTCTAGAAAACCTTTTCCGCATACTTAAAAATAGATATAAATGTGCAGGAACTTTGTTTTCTGAAGGGCATCGCGGAGGTCCAAAGGACAGGTCTCTTCTGTTAGCCGACTGTTTCTCCTTTCTGTCTCAAATTTTACTAAATGTATGTACCTGTGCGTGCACTGTCCTGACCTGGCCTATAATTTTCTCCTGACTTTTCTCCCATCTCTTCAACTGGGTGGTGAGCATCTTGAGGGAAGGAGTTGGCCTTTTCCGGTCTCGTCTTCCCCACAGCGTATCTGTTGCCCGGGGCTTAGCGCTCAGTGCTGGTGCTGAGACAGTCCTGGTTCCTTGGTTTTACCCTTCCCTTCTTCCTCCCCTTCCCCCACCCCCTGCCTCTTCCTTTCCTCCCTGCCCTCCGCCTTTCTTGACCTCTTTGTTTACTCTCTTGGTCCTTTACTCTTCCGTCTGTTGGAGAAGGGGGGCTGTTTTGACCGGACAAGGACAGGGAGCCTGAATCCTCATGATGGTCATGCCCCACATGGCACTAGGTGGGCTTTATTAGTCCAGCCACACTGCCTTACCTACTGCTTAAGCAGAAGCCCCCTTGTAGTCCACTCAGTGCTACAAATTCTATTGACCTGAGCTGAGATTCTTCCCATTCTACTCATCCCGTTCTCTTCTGCTTCAAAGATCCTCACCTGGGAAGAACATCAGACCAAAAGGGGCATATCTGTTTGTTGTGCCCTTTCACATTCTTAATGGGGAGCCGGGTGCTGGGCAGCCTCCTAAAAGCACAGACATGTGGGAAAGTCGGGAGGGGCTGTGTGGAGGAAGCACGATTTGAAACAGGCTTTGGAGAATGGGTAGAGTTTGCATGGCTGAGTACAGCGCTCCAGAGAGTACACTAGCCACTGGAAGCAAGGAGGCAGAACTGAGCGTCTACTTGTGAGAGGACAAAGGGGCGTGGTCTTGATGGAGATGAGGGCTCACACCTCTGGATGTGGGATGGGGAGTTTAGACCAGATTGCAGAGGGGGTGAGAACCACACTGTCCGAGGGCATGGAAGAGGAACTTAATCTATTTTTTAATCCTGTATGTTTAACTATGAGATTGTGGGTTCAGGATAAGCAATTGAGTAATTTCTCCCAGAAGGAAGAACGTGGGATGGGCTTTCCTCTCTCTTCGTTTTGAGGCAGGTATCAGTAACTTGGTAAAAACTCACAATCGAGAACTGTGAGACCTGAACGGAAGAAAGAGATCACAGTACAAGTGCAAAGTCATAAGGAAAACCCCAGTAATACAAATTGCAAGATCTTTCTGCATCTATCATCTCATTTATAGGGAAATTTTTTTTTTTTTTTTTTTTGCGGTACGCGGGCCTCTCACTGTTGTGGCCTCTCCCGTTGCGGAGCACAGGCTCCGGACGCACAGGCTCAGCGGCCATGGCTCACGCGCCCAGCCGCTCCGCGGCATGTGGGATCTTCCCGGACCGGGGCACGAACCCGTGTCCCCTGCATCGGCAGGCGGACTCTCAACCACTGCGCCACCAGGGAAGCCCCAGACTGTGTAATTGTGACAGGCTGTGCCAATGCTTGGGGGTGGAACTTTCTGAGCGTCCTCTGCTGTAATTAATGGCAGTAGTCTTGAGATGAAAGTTGTAGCCAGATCAGCCCATGGTCACGAATCTTTCCTGCTTTCTCTTCTGCAGAGTCCCTGAGCATTATCCTCGTGGGGAGGAGCGGAACTGGGAAGAGTGCCAGTGGGAACACCATCCTCGGGAGGCCGGAGTTCCTATCTCAGCTGGGAGCACAGCTGGTCACCAAGAGATGCCAGAGCGGCTGGAGGGTGTGGGATGGGCAGGATGTTGTGGTTGTGGACACTCCCCTGCCCTGCCTGGTGTCTGGAGCTGAAGGGGATCCATCCCAGGTCGATGAGGAGGTCAAACGCTGTTTGTCCTACTATAAAGAAGGGAGTACGGTTCTGGTCCTGGTATTACAGCTAGGACGGATCACGCGAGAGGACAAAAAGGCAGTGGCGGAATTAAAGACCATCTTTGGAGAGGACGTTATGAAATACACGATTGTGCTGTTTACCCGGAAGGAAGACTTAGGGACTGGGAAGCTTGAAGATTATGTCAAAAACACAAATAACAGATATCTTAGGGACATAACTGAAAAATGTAAGGGGAGATATTGTGCTTTTAATAACAGAGAAACTGGCCAAGCCAGGGAAGAGCAGACAAGAGAGCTTTTGTCAGAGGTTACTAACCTGATAAAGTGCCGTGGAGAGCATGAATATCGCCATCCATGGGGGAATGTAGGCAAAACAATGAAAAATTTTCAGCCCCTAAAATTACTGAATAATTTAAAAAGTACATTACTATAAAATTACTAAATAACTTAAAGGGTAAGTTAGTGTAGGAAGCCCCACATTACTAAATAATTTAAAAGGTAAGTTGCTATAGCAAGCTGAAATGCCTGAGGTCTCTTTATGTTAGAGATACCCTCAGGCCACAAGCATGGCGGGCGGTGGGGGGTGGGGGTGGGGGTGGGGGGGGTGGGGGGCAATGGTAGGACTGGTGGGATGGGAAGAGGGTCCATGACTTTGAGGGCTTGAGAGGTGAATGCATATCACACTGTGGTGCTTCAGCTCTTTGTAGGTAAATAAATTGTCAGGCTGGGGCTGGTAGTAGGGGATAATAAAGGAGAAAGAAAAAATAAGGTGGGAAAATCTGAGCAAGGGCTTCAGAGATTAATTAGGCTGATATTAAGGATCAGAATCAAGTCACAAGAATCACTTCATCTGTGTAGACAGATCAGAGTCAGGACAGACACTGGGACTGAGGCCAAGGCCAGCCTGGGGTCAGAATACAGAGAGTCACACAAGAACCAGAGGATTTAGATACATGAAGGTAAGACAATGTCCAGTCAACTCCTGGGTGTGGCAGAATGGAGAAGCTGGACTCCTGTGGGCCTCTCTGATGCCCAGCACTGCTTGCCAGGTGCCCTGAGCTCTCCATCTCCACCGCGGCAGCACTCAGGGCCTTCCTTTCTTCACATGATGGCTACTCCTTACTTCTTTCCCCAGTCCAAGCTGGAATGGAAAGTGGGACCTAGTCTACCTTCCTTTGCTGTCCCTGAGGAAATGAACAGGAGTCTGTGAAGTATCAAAAGATTTTATTGCCAATCATTCACAGTGAAATAGACTAGAACAAAAATTAGAAGCATGGTAAAATTGCCAAGATTAGACGATCTTGCAAAAATTTAAAATTCTAAGTAAAATTCTAGATTTCCTCTAGAAAAAGTTATTGAGAACTCCTTTATACTTCTCTCTCTCTTTCCCTTTCTTTTTCCCTCTCTACCCCACCCTCCTTGTCCCTGAGGCTTAGGAATTAGGTTAAAACTCAAAGAGGGGCTTCCCTGGTGGTGCAGTGGTTGGGAGTCTGCCTGCCGATGCAGGGGACACGGGTTCGTGCCCCAGCCCGGGAGGATCCCACATGCTGCAGGGCGGCTGGGCCCGTGAGCCATGGCCGCTGGGCCTGCGTGTCTGGAGCCTGTGCTCCGCAACGGGAGAGGCCGCAACAGTGAGAGGCCCGCGTACCGCTAAAAAAAAAAACCAAAAAATCCCAAAAAACTCCAAGAGGTCAAATAATAATGGCTTAAACACATTAGGGGTTTATAGTGTCTTACATTAAGAAGTCCAGGAGTAGGCAGTCTGAGACCAGTGTGGCATCAACGTTCCAGCTTCCTTCTGCCTTTCTGCCCCCACCCATCGGCATGCAGCCTCCATACTTAAGGTTGCTTCTTACGGTTCCAAGATGGTGGTGTCCTACTCACGGCTAAGCAGGTTATATTGAGAGCTGCCTGGTGTGGGTGACATATGAGAACTATGGAGTCTTCTCCCAGTTAGATGTAAGGTCAGATGTTTTCAATATTAACCGCTTTACACATGCTTTGAGGACATGATCTATGTCATCATCTGCTTTTTAAAAATTTCAAAGTATCAGGTTACCTCAAGATTAACCCATTTATAAGAGCATGGACTGTCACCATTAATACTTTTGTACTCTGCATAACCCTTAATATGACAGATTCTGGTAAGTGTGTATAAATATATTCAGTTGAGTGAAATAATAAAGATGAATTATATTATGAATTCACCTCCTCCTTCTGATTTCTATTTTTCTGACTTGGGGGAAGAGCATGCTTCCACGGAGAGGAAATGAAAATGTTTAAATCCCTTGACTCTGGTGAAGTTTTTGCATCTTTGATGCCTGAAGACCTTTAAACTGGGTGACAGTCACTTCACTAGGCCTCTGCCAGTTCAGGAATCTTCTACTCTGAGCATGTCATTACAGCAAAGACAAACAGATGTAACCAGTGTTAGAGCCAGGTACCTGGGAAGAATGAAGTCTAGAAGACATCCTGTGCCTCTTCCCAGAGCTTCCCTTCAGCTTGAAGGCAGGAACAAATCCCAGAGTGCTACCCGTGATTGAGCAGGTGACACTGGACCTGCATGAGGTGGGGAATGTGTGGGCTGAGCAATGTGATGTACATTGCCAGAGGAGAGAAGAAAGAGGCAGGAAGAATATTTGAAGAAATAATGGCTGTGAACTTCCAAAATTTGAGGAAAACCATTAATGTACACATCTAAGAAACTCAATGAACTTTAAGTAGGATAAATTCAAAATTCAAAGAGACCCACACCCATTATAATCAAACTACAAAAGACAAAGAATCTTAAAAACAGCAAGAAAGAAGTGACTCATAACATACAAGGGATCCTCAACAAGATTAACATCTGATTTCTCATCAGAAACCATAGAAGCCAGTGGTCCATAGGATGGTATATTCAAAATGCTGAAAGAAAAGACTATCAACCCCACATTCTTTATCTAGCAAAACTGTTCTTCAAAAATTAAGAAGAAATTTAAAACATCCCCAGATAAAGAGAAGTGGAAAGAATTTATTACTTGCAGAGCTACCCTACAATATAAGATCCTGAGAAAAAAGAACAAAGCTGGAGGTATCACGTTTCCTGACTTCAGACTATACTGCAAAGCCGCAGTAACCAAAACAGTATGGTACTGGCACAAAAACAGACACATAGATCAATGGAACAGATGAGAGGGCCAAAAAATAAACCCACGCACATATGGTCAATTAATCCACAACAAAAGAGGCAAGAATATCCAATGGGGAAAAAGCAGTCTCTTCAATAAGTGGCATTGGGAAAACTGGACAGTTACATGTAAAAGAATGAAATTAGAACATTTTCTCAAACTGTATACAAAAACAAACTGAAAATGGATGAAGTGTCTAAATGTAGTACAGGAAACCATAAAAATTGTAGAAGAAAACATAGGCAGGACACTCTGACATAGTCTTAGTAAGATTTTTTTGGATCTGTCTCCTCAGGCAAGGGAAACAAAGCAAAAATAAACGAACGGGGCCTAATTAAACTTAAAAACTTTTGCACAGCTAAGGAAACCATCGACAAAACAAAAAGACAACTTACTTAATGGGAGAAGATATTTGTAAATGATGTGCCTGATAAGGGGTTATTACTCAAAATACATAAAGAAATCATACAACTCAATATAGAAAAAAAACCCATGGGCTTCCCTGGTGGCGCAGTGGTTGAGAGTCTGCCTGCCGATGCAGGGGACACGGGTCCGTGCCCCGGTCCGGGAAGATCCCACATGCCGCGGAGCGGCTGGGCCCGTGAGCCATGGCCGCTGAGCCTGTGCGTCCCGGGCCTGTGCTCCGCAAGGGGAGAGGCCACAACAGTGAGAGGCCCGCGTACAGCAAAAAAAAAAAAACAAACCTTACTCCTCATCCTTCCCACATTATATTGAAAGGTTGGAAAAATCAATTGAACAAACATTGAAACATTTCCCGTGTATTCAGAATATTAAATAAACTAAGATGAACATCAAATGTGGGCCAAAGAATATTTGAGGTACTCCATGAGGTTTAACAAGAAGATATATTTGTACTTATTTCTGGTATCCAACTTGTTTTCTATGAATATTTAAAAGACTCAATTCTAAATCTTCTAGCTCCTGGAGAAGGTCTGTCTCTTTTTGAATTTTCTCCAACTGTTGTTTTTTGTTTTTTTCTGTTTGCTGCCTGTTGTTTCAAGTTGTTTGATTGCTTTTGAGACAGGCTGGGACCTGAGACCTTCTGCTGGGACCTGAGACCCTTTGCTACAATGCTGCAAACATTGCACCTGGACACACCTCTCCTCAAGCTACAAAATACAAAGAAACTATATAGGACTAAAAATAACTGCGTGCATGCCCAGTTGGGGCAAATTCTGGACCCAAAGGATACAAAGAGACCAAAAAAAGAACAAAACACCAAAAAACCCACAACTGCCACTTTTGAAGAGCCTGGAGCAAAAACAGGGTGTTGGGAGCAAAAGCAGGCCACTGTGCATGCCCCCTGCACTCAACGCCACCAGAGGGGTGGGCAAAACATCTAAGCCACCCCTCTGGCCCGACCCCCAGACACATTCCTACCCTCACCCCACGTAAGAAACAAGCTTGCCCCCCTTCGGGGAGCGAGCAAGCAAGGGAACCTGCTGTCTGTTCCCCCCCTCCCCCCTGCTGCAGCAGGGGCCCCGATAAAGCCTTGCCTGAATTTCTCTTCCGGCCTCTGGTCAATTTCTATTGACTGGGGAAGGTCAAGAACCCTGGTCGGTAACACTTTCAGTTTCTTCTCCAGGTTCCTGCTTTTTCCCCCTCTATCTCAGGGTCTCACGATGTTGACTGAGAGAAGATATTTTGCGATGTGCTTCCTGTTTTGCAGCTTTCGGCCTCATTCTTCTTTATTTTGTAGGGGCTGTTTATGATAATGGCTCGTTATTTTGCCTTTGTGGTTTCATATTCTGGGGTGGTTTCTCATGCAGCTTGAGAAGAGTACTTGTTTGTTTCTTAGAGCTGAATTTCTAAAAGTCATTCCAAGCTCTTCACTGGGTACTTCACTTAGAACTGCTTTGTAAATTACTGATTCCACTGGAAATACTAAGAAAATGTTTGCTAAGAAAGCGGCTGTATTTCTGCATTTGATTACAGGTTGTTCCTATGCAAAACAAAGCTGGTAGAAGCAGTTACATTGTGCCCCTCCTCATCTGCAGAGTCTGTAAAGTACAGGCCACTGGTTTGAAAATATCTTTCTTTACACCCCGCACCTCCCTTTGTCTCCTTGACTTCCAAAGCCATCTAGTACTAATGGCTGTATGAAAGCTTTCACTAGACTGCATTACAAAACCGGTTCCAAAGTGAGATTTACAATCACATAGCAAGTGGCAACAAGCACATTTTTGCTTTGACAAGAGTTTGGCTAGAAGGTCAAACTCATAAATGGGCTCATGTTTTGGTAGTTGCTTTACTGCACTTGCTTCATTTGTTGCAGCGTAGAAGGATGTTTGTTATC